ACGGACATTCGAACCCACGACCCTCAGATTGCGAGTCAAGCGTCTTATCCACCTGGCCATGTCGGGCCCGTTGGTATTCTGATTGGTGGGTTTAAGTATTTCATTTTTATTAAAGTACTCTCCAACACTAACTGGTACTACATTTTTCCAGCCTACTCAGAAGCTCCTAAGTTACAATAACGTTTCGTAATTTTTGTGCTGTTTTTATTTTCTCTGAAAATAATAAAATGACTTTACTTTGAAAAAGTGGTCAGCTTTCAGAGTGCGAGAAAAATCTTACTTAGGCTCCAAATAATAAAAAAATTAAAATTTAAAAGGTCATTCTTCAATAACTAAACACGTTGTTCTATATGTAAAAAACACATGTGGATCCGTCACTGCTGTTTTTTTTTATATCGAAAAGAGGACAAGGCAAGTGCCAAACTTGTATGCTTTATCATCACTCAAAATTGAATTTCATTCAAAAAGCAAAAAAGTATGTGGGATATTAAAAACAAAGTCTCAAGGTTCAAATGAAAGGCATTAGTATAAATGAAGCAATAATAATAGTAGTAGTTATATTCAACATAGAGAACATGTACTGAACGACCGCCATGTTCGTTTTGTGCCTTTGAAACAAACACGCACAACAAAATCGTTCTCTGGCCCAACTCATAGAGCAACTGCTGTAAAGAGAGAAGGTTCCCCTCCATGGGTGGGGGAGTGCAAGTTCGAAAAGGATGTAAGATAAAGTAAGGGCCCTTGTCAGCCCTAAGGGAAGACTGTCTGTTGCTTGTGTTCTTTCAGGACTAAGTCAATATTTCACAAGTATAAAATGTTTCCCATACAGAATAAGAACGAAATACTATTGCAAAATCTTAAATTAGGCATCAATAAAACAAGAGTTGAAACAATATATTTAAAGTGAAATGGATTTTAGTTTAAAGTAACTCAGTTTCAAAATAGATAAAAAAATATATTTCTTTTCTTTCCTTTTCTATTATTATTCTATTTTCTGGATTTCCTGTTATATATATATATATATATAAACCAAACATAATAACTTATAACATTAAAACCTTAAGCTACAAAAATATAAACAAACCAAATAAATTTTCTATCGAAACACTACCATCTGTTAAATCGTTTTCTAAACTCCAATTTAATAAATTGTCTGACAGTAACTGGCGAATACCTTATTTTAAGGTAGACTATTGCTACCTTTCAAATAATAATATTTTTTTATCGAGGCTAAGTTATTTGTAGTTAAATGTTTACTTTCTTCGGAGAAATCACGTTTTGGCAATAAGCATTTAACATTACGCAAGAACTACTAATTCACGTGTTTCATCAACGCCATTCAGACACTGAAACTCTATCATAGCTTTTTTGTTTTCTTTTCATGATTTGTTACGCTTGAAAACTGTCATTTCTTCTTTACAACATTATACTGTACCTATGTGCGTTTACTAGTTAGGGTTAGGAGGGTTAGCTAAAATTCATAGGTGTAGATTTACTCATCTGTGAAGAAAAAAAAATAAAAATTTTAAGTTGCAGAAAAGACCATAGTAAACTTGAAAAGACATTGTGGTGGGCTCATATCAAGGTTTAAACCCAGTGACTATAGAGAAATGGACTGAAATTTGTAACTGCACAAATTACAAACCACATTAATTCATATTGAAAATCCCGGGTGTTTTATGTATGTATCAGACTATCCTATTGAAAATTACGGGTGTTGTTTAATGGTCAAAACTGTCTCAATGAAAACCCCGAGTTTTGTTGTATATTCCGAATCATCTTACCGAAAATCCTGGGTTTTGTTTCAAGTTTTATTATAATTCAAGAAATCTTACTGGTAATCCTGAAATGCTGTTACATAGCCAATATTATTTTACTAAAACTTCTGAGTGTTTTTGTGTGTGTGTGTGTGTTCAAGACCATTCTACTGAGAATGCAGCATGATTTTGTATCTTCAAGACCACTCTACTGAGAATCCAACGTGGTGTTGTCTGTTCCAAATGCCCGACTGGAAATTATTTATGCTATTATAGGTCAAAACCACCTAACTGAAAGTTTCAAGCCTATTTTATGTTCAAGACCATCCTGCTGAGAATCCCATGCACTGTTATATGACCATGACCAACTTACTGAAAATTCTAGGTGCTGTTATATGTCCAAGGCCATTCTACTGAGAATCCTGAGGGCTGTTTTGTGTCCAAGACCATTGTATCAATAATCCTGGCTGTTATTATGTGTTCATGACCATCCTACTGAAAATACCTGTTGCTGTATTTATTAAACATCATTCTACTGAAAATTCAGGATCCCGTTGCATGGTCAAGACCATTCTATTAAAAATACCGGGGGTTGTTATATGTCCATGACCATCCTACTGAAAATCCCGAGTGATGTTATATCTCCAAGATCATTCTATTGAAAATCCCGGGTGGTGTTGTATGTTCAATAACACTCTACTGAAAATCCTAAGTGGTGTTATATATCCAAGACCATTCTACGGAGAATCCCGAGTGGTGTTATATGTCCACGACCACTTTACTGATAATTCCGAATGATTTTATATATCCAAGACCATTCTACTGAGAATCCCGAGTAGTGTTATATGTCCAAGGCTATTCTACTGAAAATCTCGAGTGTGTTGTAGAACACTCTACTGAGAATCCTGAGTGGTGTTTTATGTCCAAGACAATTTTACTGAGAATCCTGAGTGGTGTTTTATGTCCAAGACAATTTTACTGAGAATCCTGAGTGGTGTTTTATGTCCAAGACAATTTTACTGAGAATCCCTGGTGCTATTATATGTCCAAGACCATTCTACTGAGAATTGCAGGTGTTGTTATAAGTTAAAGGCCATTCTACTGAGAATCAAGAATGGTGTTATATATCCAAGACCATTCTACGGAGAATCCCGAGTGGTGTTATATGTCCACGACCACTCTACTGATAATTCCGAATGATGTTATATATCCATGACCATTCTACTGACAATCCCGAGTAGTGTTATATGTCCATGACCATTCTGCTGACAATCCCGAGTAGTGTTATATGTCCAAGGCTATTCTACTGAAAATCCCGAGTGTGTTGTATGCTCAAGAACACTCTACTGAGAATCCTGAGTGGTGTTTTATGTCCAAGACAATTTTACTGAGAATCCCGGGTGCTATTATATGTCCAATACCATTCTACGGAGAATCACGAGTGGTGTTATATGTCCACAACCAATCTACTGATAATACAGAGTAGTGTTATATATCCAAGACCATTCTACGGAGAATCTCGAGTGGTGTTATATGTCCACGACCACTCTACTGATAATTCCGAGTGATGTTATATATCCAAGACCATTCTACCGAGAATCTCGAATAGTGTTATATGTCCAAGACCATTCTACTGAGAATCAAGAGTGGTGTTATATATGTTTAAGACAATTCTATGAAGAATCAAGAGTGGTGTTATGTGTCTAAGACTATTCTACTGAGAATCCCGGATGTTGTGATAAGTTAAAGACCATTCTACTGAGAATCCCGAGTGATGTTATATGTCCAAGACCATTCTACTGAGAATTGCAGGTGTTGTTATAAGTTAAAGGCCATTCTACGGACATATAACATCACTCGGGATTCTCAGTAAAATGTTCTTTAACTTATCATAGCATCCGGGATTCTCAGTAGAATGGTCTTGGACACATAACACCATTCTTGATTCTCAGTAGAATGGTCTTGGACACATAACACCATTCTTGATTCTCAGTAGAATGGCCTTTAACTTATAACAACACCTGCAATTCTCAGTAGAATGGTCTTGGACACATAACATCACTCGGGATTCTCAGGAAAATGTTTTAACTTATCATAGCATCCGGGATTCTCAGTAGAATGGTCTTGAACACATAACACCATTCTTGATTCTCAGTAGAATGGCCTTTAACTTATAACAACACCTGCAATTCTCAGTAGAATGGTCTTGGACATATAACACCATTCTTGATTCTCAAAGACCATTCTACTGAGAATCCCCAGTGATGTTATATGTTCAAGACCATTCTACTGAGAATTTCAGGTGTTGTTATACGTTAAAGGCCATTCTACTGAGAACCCCGAGTGCTCTTGAATGTTGAATGAAGGAAAGGGTTTGACCGTGAAGATGCAAACACATTAGAGCTGTTGAAACTAAGTGAACAAAGCCGTCATGCAAGAAAGCACGGGTATTGTTTGACAATATAGTGTACTCCGGGACATTCACCGACCTGGAGGTTAAGGACATTCAAACTAAATAGCCTGTTTATAGCTTGCCTAAAGATGTCAACGTTACCGAACCATAAAGCGATAAAAACTTGTTCTCTGGATTTGTTGATCTGGCTGAAGACCAGATAGACATTTTTCAATTTTTTTTCTTTGCTAATAATAGTATGCCTTGGAAATCTGTCGAACAAGGCTAAATTACTTCATACAAATCGCTCTATATGGCACCAATTGACAATGAGATACAATATGAATCAGAAAACAACTCAGACGTTGAAGATGGTTCTCTTGATATGAAGTTGTTTGTGTTAAAATTCTATTGAAGCAGAATTCCCGGAGGAGCGGAGGCCAATAAAGAAGACACTCCTTTCACTTGATGAGTAAAAACGATTCACGTATTGTGAAAACCAAGAAATTCCAATGACGTATTTAGTTCATCTGAACCTAGCATAGTGTAATCTTATTTTTATTTTTTTATATCGTCCCCCTATAGTGGCACATTTGGTAAGTCTGTAGGCTTATAAGGCTAAAAACCGGGTTTCGATATCCGTGTTGGGCAGAGCACAGATAGCCCATTATGTAGTTGTCCCCAATGTGGCTTTGCTCTAAAAAAAACAACAACAAGCTACAATTTTTATATGTTACTACGATTAATTAGAAATGATCGAACTCCATATAAGATATTGGTTTATAAAACGTTCATTTCCTGTCGAAACGTTTTGGCATCTTTGATTGAAATATTCTCAAAACTACTGCTGACAATTGATTCCATATAGCCATGTTTTTCAGTCTTGGAACGCTGAACCACTTCGAGCTTATAAAAAGCAGCGTAATGTATGCGTGAGCATTTTTACTGTACGTGTATTTAAATAATCCCAAGGTCTTGACAGAGTTGTTTCACACGTGATTTGAATTCTGAGGTCTCATTTAATTGATATCAAAGTATATTTGTTTTAACATTCTGGCGAAGGAATATGTACGAAGAAGGTAGCTTTTCATAGCTTTTTTTTCTTTTAGTTTCTTACTAGAAGAAAACATGGACATTAAACAGCAATTATATAACTGTTGATCATATATCTCATTGTACATGTGCTACAGTAATTCTCCCAGCACGATCTAACACATAAAAAATCAAAAGTTAATTAGACATAGTAACACTTCCGTCATGTTTGCCCCGCCCCTACCGGGCTACATCGTACCTCAACTGGCTGCACTGGCATCTACTTTAATAAGGAGTCCCTTCTGTTGCATTGATATCCATAATTATGCATATAACAAAAGAAAAAATAGAAAAATAGTTCGCTTACTTTGTATACAATAAAAATGTCTCAGTATCATTATTCTTAGTTTACATATATTGGATGTATATGTAATAATTTGTTATTATTTTCTTAGTGAACCATCTGCATACTGTCGAAGGCGGGGCCTTTAACTCCCGATTCTTGCTTTGTAAGTCCATAAATTTACCACTGATACACGGAGGGAAACTAATAAAATTATAAACATCTAAGTTTAGAAATATAATGTATGGTATAAATTATAGGTTGAGTAACAACATAATAAATTATAGGTTGAGTAACAACATAATAAATTATAGGTTGAGTAACAACATAATAAATTATAGGTTGAGTAACAACATAATAAATTATAGGTTGAGTAACAACATAATAAATTATAGGTTGAGTAACAACATATTTGTTTTTATATGTACATTAATTTATAGCTGCATTAATAAGTTGAAATAAATATGGAATTGTCAGTATGGAATTCGCATAGAAACAAATGCGGGTTTTCATGTAGATGGTCATTCTTAAACCACAACTTCTATGCTCCATTTCATAATTTCAAACACTATGTATTTTGCAATGACTAGTAAAGATTACGACATCGCAGAAATCTACACCATTTCCTCATTACGAAAACACTTAATTACACTCTTAATTTTTTTTTTGTATTTTTACCACGACACACACCGCCATGTAAAACTATGGTTAGGGTGTGGTTCTTTTATTTTATATTTTAAAAAGTACAATATAATTTAAGACGTTCCAGAACATGTCTCCAGTAGAGTTCAGTTTCAAATTTCCCCGTTCAAGTTATCCAACTTGAGTTTCCGTTATAAGTTCAAATTAACTTAATAATTTTTGTATTCAAATTAAATTTCTAACACTAAGTCATTTGAATGATTCAAGATTAAACTTCTATAAATCCCTGCAATAATGAAAATATTTCGTAGAATCTTAAATCCCATTCCCTGTTTACTCTAAATCATGTTTCCTTCTTCTATGCTACCAGATTCAAGCTCGAAGCTCATTTTTAGCCTCCTTCTTCACTGTAGAGATGAACATTTGTAAAAGATTGAAGAAATATCCCATGAACTCATGTTTGTTTTACAGGGGCGGTTGATTTATAATAAAAGTGCTTCGGGTGTAGCTTTAAAACAGCAGATTTTAACTGGAAAATTTTATCAACTGAGAGAAACGTATGTCCCATTTTGTATACGACGATTGATAAATATTTGCTAGTACTGCAGTCTGTATTTGTTGATTGACGCGATATCTTGTTCAAGTGGCTTTTCACTTGTTTAACGAAGAAACTTGAGTAAAAACAAAATTTGATTGACGTAAGCCTTTCTCACAAGAGTTCTAGTGGTGTTGGTTATCGATATGCAATATTTCATCACTATAAGTTACGGGTTATGACTTTGGGCACAAGATGAAGAAATCACTTTGTGAAGATTGATGAAGTATAACCATCAAACATCTCCAGTAGCTGTAGACCTCACAGAATACGTGTATCTTTATTCGTAACCTTGTCACTTATTATAAACTTGCATCTCTGAAAATTATAACTTCGGGATCTTATCTATATATACATATGTAAACACCTGTCTCTTTAACAAAGGCAGAGCCACCTGTCGGAAGCTCTAGGGTTTTATAAGGTTATTTTAAGTGTAATTTACCAATTTGGATTTATCCTATGTGTTTTATTATTATTATTATAAATATTTCTTTGACGTAAATAAAATATCTGAACAAGTGTAGTGTATAATCAATGTTGTACTGTGATAGTCACACTTTTGCTATTGGAAATTCAGTACCAGAGAATCTTGCTATACGAGTGAATTTCAGAACACTCTTACTATAAGACTGCAGTCTATCAATAAATACCTCTCAGTTTAGGACTATAATATACAGTATCTCTGTAGGAGTATGATTTATATATTCTCAGAAATCCTCTCGTTGTAAGACTAAAATGTACATAGTATTGCTCTAAAACAGTAATCTACATATACCTGTCAGTTTAGGACTGTAATATAGAGTTTCTCTGTAGAAGTATGATTTATATATTCTCAGAAATCCTCTCGTTGTAAGACTAAAATGTACATAGTATTGCTCTAAAACAGTAATCTACATATACCTGTCAGTTTAGGACTGTAATATACAGTTTCTCTGTAGGAATATGATTTATATATTCTCAGAAATGCTCTCGTTGTAAGACTAAAATGCACAGAGTATTGCTCTAAAACAGTAATCTACATATACCTGTCAGTTTAGGACTATAATATAGAGTTTCTCTGTAGAAGTATGATTTATATATTCTCAGAAATGTTCTCGTCGTAAGACTAAAGTGTACAAAGTATTGCTCTAAAACAGAAATATGCAAATACTTGTTAGTTTAGGACTATAATATAGAGTTTCTCTATAGGAGTATGATTTATATATTCTCAGAAATGCTCTCGTTGTAAGACTAAAATGTACATAGTATTGCTCTAAAACAGAAATCTGCAAATACCTGTCAGTTTAGGACTATAATATAGAGTTTCTCTGTAGGAGTATGATTTATATATTCTCAGAAATGCTCTCGTTGTAAGACTAAAATGTACATAGTATTGCTCTAAAACAGAAATCTGCAAATACCTGTCAGTTTAGGACTATAATATAGAGTTTCTCTGTAGGAGTATGATTTATATATTCTCAGAAATGTTCTCGTTGTAAGACTAAAGTGTACAAAGTATTGCTCTAAAACAGTAATCTACAAATACCTCTCAGTGCAGGACTATAATATAGAGTTTCTCTGTAGGACTATGATTTATATATTCTCAGAAATGCTCTCGTTGTAAGACTAAAGTGTACATAGTATTGCTCTAAAACACTAATCTACAAATACCTGTCAGTTTAGGACTATAATATACAGTCTCTCCGTAGGACTACAATGTACATCTTTTGAGTATAGTATTATTACACTGGAATGATGGTTGGGCCCGAGTCTGCTATTAAACAATAATGATGTGTACGGCGCCATATTTAGATAGACAATATGACATTTCTATGCAGTAATAAGCATTGATGACACTTGTTAGTTTCCCTTTAATTTTAAACTAGAATGTGCAAATAAGACAAAAGTTTTTATACTGAATAGAAGATTAATACTTAGAATCCACTTAAGTATATACTTAATGTGCTTTTATTGAGTCATGTGACTCATGCTACAAAGGAGAAGGAAGACATTGTTTATTGTTGATAAATTAGTTCATATGCGTAACTCGAATTTATTTATGTGCTTTCCGTTAATATATATATGTATTTATACAGAGTGTCCGAAAAGTCTGGAACCATAAGCACTTCAACGAATATTACAGAATGTGTTCCACCTGCTGTCCTTGTAATTGGAAACAAGTTTGGACTAACCCGATTTTCTCGTTCTTTGAGAGCACCATAACCAGTCACGTCTCCAAAATTAATTAAGAAAACCTGCAAATCACGTGTGGTTCCAGTCTTTGCGGACACCCTGTGCTTTGAAATGTGTTAGTCTCCAATATTGTAATGTTTAAATTATTGATATAAATTACAGAAACATTTCCGTGTGCCACACATCATCGCACACTTACAATAAGATGTTGATTTCCTATTCACCTAAATTCACGAATCATTTGGTGTTCTTTTATGTTGCTGTTTTAATAAATGTATTGCACTATAAAATTATGTTTAACTGCTGGTGTAACTACATTGGGTTTTAATAGTAGATCAGTACAAAATGTAAATAATCTAATGTAAAGTTGAGAACCACTATTTAGAACAACAGAAGTTTATATAGATACAAGTTTCAATACTTTCACATGTTCTTTTCAGTTCAACATTTGTTTTTCTTCTTGGACATATTCATTTATTTACTGATAGGAAATTAAACTACATAAGCTAATTTCCACAATACAATTAGATTCATTGTGTACTATACTCCGGAAAGATTAAGTCATATAGTCCGTAATCTTAAGCAGCATATTTCTTGAGTATACTGGAATGGACGGCAACTGCCTATTGTTAAAAAATCACAAGAGTAGAGGACAACGTTTCGAAAGTCTTTCGTCTTCATTATAAACAACTGTCAACAAAATGCACAATAAATTAATATTAACAGCGTTTAATAGGATATTATTCTCGTTGTTCTTGTTTCAACTTTGCTTTACGTTGCCTGAATAGCAGGCGATCAGGGTCAGTGTACATATGGCGCTCACAATCTACATAGTGGTTTCGCAGTTCTTGTGTTTACGTCGTAGCCACCAGATTTCCAGTATAACTAATTACAGGGTTACGTGGCTATAATATACAATAATATCTCCGTAGGACTACAATGTACACATTCTTAATATAGGACTAGAAAACACGATATTTTTCTAGGGCTATGTCCATAATCTCCCTCTAGGACTACAATGTACACAGACTTAGTATAGGACTAAGACACAACGTCTCTTTTGTAGAACAACAACGTCCATAGTCTTAGCATAGGACAATAACATATCTCTGTAAGACTACAATGTACACAATCTTAGTATAGGACTACAATATACAATATTTCTGTAGGTCTAAAATATACATAATCTTAGTATAATATCCTTCTAGGACTGCAATGTACATAATGTTAGTATCGGACTACAATATACAATATTTCTGTAGGTCTAAAATATACATAATCTTAGTATAAGGCTATAATACGTAATATATTTCTAGGACTGTAATGTTAGTATAAGGCTCTAACACACAATATCAGTTGATCATCACGTAGTTCCTGAACTTTGACATCCATCCTACAGTGGAACAGTCTACCTCATGTTCAGCTTGTACTATGGCGAAACTGGTCAGGGTTTCAACGCCCACAGAGTGTCCAGGATTAGGACCTTTCATGAATAGTCAAGGACTCACTCTGCAGTGTGACAGAACTATGACAAGTTCATAATCGAATAACGTTGTTAATCAACATGCTATCACCTCTTTTATTAACTTAACTTCAACAACGCATTGTCTACTTGGGTGCTGAACTTCCTATCATATAAGTAACAGTTCTTTTTTTTTCTGTCCTAGAGTATCTACATTTTGGAGCCGTGATCGTATGACCAGCGTACGTAATTACACATTTCACTCCATTCTTCAACTGCATTACTCTGACTTCCTTGTCCAGAAGAAGCTAACAGTCCTGATGAGGATAGGTTAACACTAGAGCATCTTCTAAAGCAAGGATCAGGGATAGGAATATCTGGAAACATTCCTTGCTACATACAAAGTGTGCTCTCACTTTGATGAAAGCCAAAAATGGTTCTGATATTATTGAGAAGTTGCCCACAAATTGTTTTTATTATGATACAAAACCATGGGAACTGGAGACTTCATTTTGTCACAGGTTGAGGCCAATTTCTCACCGCATTTATCTTAGCCAGGTCATTTGGACTTCATCTCTTCCCAAAATGTGACCTAAAAGCTCTACTTTCATTTGCATGAATTGACATTCTGCTGCTTTCAGTTCCAATCTTCTCCTTGATATGTACAAAAATACCACCTTCATATTCTCAAAGGTTGACTCAAAGGTGTGACAAAACACCCAAAATATCATCGATATATACCAGGCATCTCTCTCACTGCAGTAGCTGGTGCATTACATAGACTGACTGACATGATGCGGAATTCATATAGATCATCGCTTATGCTAAAAACAGTCTTGGTCATACTGTCACTGTTCAGCTTGACTTGGAAATATCAGAACTCCAGATCCAAGGCGTTAAAACAATAGGAGTCTTTTACTGCATCTATACATCTGTCCAGAGTAAAGGGAATGTGTTGATATGAGCAACTGCTTTTACCTGATGGAACTCTATAGAAAAACTTGACACCTTTCTTCCTTCTGACAATCAATTCTTCAAATGACCAAGAACTTTCTGTAGGCTGTATGACTGTTCCGTAGCATCCACAATATTTAAGCACTTGTGACCTAGCTAGTATTTCAAAGAAGTCGGCGTGGCAATTGCTGTATTGTACATGCATTGCCTGTGTCTATATGATGCTGAGTCACCACTGGTTGACCTAATTGGCCATCTGGTCTCACAATCGCTTTGGCATACTTATTGAGCAAGTCAAAGAGTTTTTTTGTTGGATTGGATTCAGGTTGTCAGTACAAACAGCAACCAATACTTTCAGGTGTATCGGAATATTTGTATATTTATTTCCTATCATGGTGTATTGGATACAACCCTAATGACACTGTTAGCCTCAGTTACTTCCACTATGTTTACCATACCTATGGCATTTTCAACGTCTGGCTGTCTATAGAGCTGTCCACTCCTGCTGACCAGTGTGATTGCCATGCATGTCTGTCATGGTGTATTGGATACAACCCTAATGACATGCATGTCTGTCATGTGAAGGTGGCTGGTTGTTAACTCTACAATTGGGTTTAGGCTGCTGAGTTAGAGGCATCTGAGTTGCACCAGTTGGAATTCTAATTACTGCTGATACTGCAGGCTTCTTTCTCTCTAATGGCCTGTTTGAAGTGACCACTTCAAAATGTGTCAAGACAGACATAACTTTCATGAAAGTGATGATCTCTCACACTCCCAGTTGGTGTTGCATAAGTTTATTGTGATGCTCTACAATGAACTTATCAGATTTCCTTCTGATCTGCCGAGGCCAGTTCTGGGTATGCCTTCTCATTCAATCAGCACAGGTCGTCCCTCGGTGACGATCATATTCGAATCATCCAATGTGTGATTGGATCAAATCGACAATGCAACTTACATACAATGGTTTCCCAGTCATATCGCTGCTCCTCTTTCAGGTGTTTGGCAATGTCGAGATCAAGACCAAGGACTGCGCAACTGGATCCTAAGTCCATCCACTCCAGGCAGTCATCTGCCTGAAACATTTCAGGAACCAATCCAGGTCCTCTCTTGCTGTTCCCTTAAACATTGGTTGCATGATCTGCTTGGCCTTGTTCATATAGTCCTGTGCATCAGATCGAAGCTTCTCTCTCTTGTAATCCTGATGGATGCCAGGAGAAGGTGCTGTAAGTGTCCTTGTTTCTGAGTGGAAGCTACACACAGAGACTCCAACACCCCAACAGCAGTCTGTCCTTGGTCCAGGGCTAGAGAATGACGAGCCTTGCCTAATTCCACGTATCGTGAGCTTTTATTGACGTAATTGGAGACCTTTCCACTCTGTTGTCTCGGTAATGCTTTGTTCTTCTGGTCAGTGAATAGATAGCTCTTTAGCTTTCCATTCCTCTAGGTGAATCCCCGCCGAACTAGTCACAATGGACATCAAGTTGAACGAACAAAGAAAGTATACGGTTATCACACATAATATGTCTATAGGACTATAATGTACACAGTCTTAGCAAAGAGCTATAATACAAGATATTTTTGTAGAACTAAAGTGCACACAATCTTAGTATTGGGCTATAATACAATAAAAATCTGTAGGACTAAAATGTAGATAGTCTTAGTATTGGGCTTCAATACAATAAAAATTTGTAGGACTAAAATGTTCATAGTCTTAGTATTGGGCTTTAATACAATAAAAATTTGTAGGACTAAAATGTACATAGTCTTAGTATTGGGCTTTAATACAAGATATTTCTGTGGGACTAAAATGTACACAGTCTTAGTATATAGTATAGGACTATAATAGGGCTTATTTAATTTAGTCTAGTTTTAGTGTACCCGGTTTCACTTTAGGATTGTAATGCACAAAACAAATGTTTACTCTCGGACAAAACGTGCATGAAGTCTCGCCTCTTACGGCTAAAGTATTAAAAAGTATCACTTCACAGTATCGTTGTTGCATGACTATTCGTTACACATTTTTACTGTAGATTGCATTACACAGTTTAAAGAATTAGTTCATAGTATACTCCTAAAAATTATTTTCAGGCATTTCTTTTGAGAAATATAAAATCGAACGACATTAAAGAAGTATTTCACTCTCGTTTCACATGCGTTATATTGGTATATAGGACTGTCAGATGTTAAGAAAGCTGATAATGAAAATATGATGACAGTCTATAAAACTGTCAATTTTTTTTTCCGTTTTATATTTATGTATAAGAATATACGGCCTAAGCTGTTATCAAGCATATTTCTAAATTCTTATGTACAGCGTTGATGATGCCATAGTCTTGTTGTCGTTTCCTCTCTAAGGGCTATAGATGACAAGTGTCAATAGCACCACGTAGTTGATCCAATAAAAACACATACCAGTAAGATAAGTTGAGGCCTTGATCAGTGAAGAAAGATCTAAGCTCTCCTCAGGTACAAAGTATGGGAATATTAAGTCTCTTCAATCGTCCTGTTTCTAAGGTCAAAAAGTTCAATATACCATGATCCAATAAGTTGTCATCGGAATGTTATCAGCATGGAAACAAGGCCACAAACATATTATAATCTCGTTCAAAAACACACCACTCTGGCTCTAAGGGACTAACTACAAATCAAATTAAAGTTAAAATTATATTGTTACTAGAAACTACTTCTTATAACATGAATTAATCCTTGTTTCTTTCTGTTTTGAAATTTCGCGACGGTTCTTGAACTGAGCCCTCTAGAACAGTATTTCTCAACCACCGGTCCGTAACAGCCATCTTACCTGTTCATCAGATTTCTCGAAAACAAACAAAATCTGACAGAATATTCATATACAAATCTTAAGGATTTTCGTTATATTAGCATTTTAGTGGTCCACGCCAGATTCGGGTGATAGCAAGAACTGGTCCCGCTTATCGAAAAGGTGAAGAAACACTGATCTGGAGTGAATTTAAAAATATTTATCTCAATTTCTTCACCATACTATGCTGTTAACATCCACTTTAACTTCCAAATGTATATTCTCAGCAAACCATATACTTGCTGCACGCCCACAATTCTTATGATCCATGTCAACAACACTATAATTATACGCATGACATCAACATCTTTCCAACTAAGAAAAAAAAAATCATCTTAAACTTCTGACCAAAGAAAGCTAACTACATGTATGAGAACTAAAAATAAGAACTTCAGAAATAATGTAGCTCATAACTAGGACCATCTAATTCACAGCAAGCAAAAACTTACTGCAATTAGGAGGCACTGGTTCACTATTATCAATATTTTCGTCCACAATTCCAACAATATCTCACCAAGTTGAACCAGTTTAGGAGAATTAAGTTAGTCCAAAATTCTAATAATATAAATACACACACACATACACGTATATATATAAAGATAATACATTTATAGTTAGTATATGAAGAAAATTAACTTAAAAGAAAGAATGAAATGTAACATTACTTACAAAACACATAACATAATTAATTCCAACCAATGTATTGTATAAGAGTGCAGTCCATATTATGTTATACCAGAGGTAACTAGACTGACTATATATGATGATAATTCAGTTCGACTAAGCTCATTGGTTTAGATGACGTATGTGGGTGTATCTCTTTCATTACTTATTGAGTTCTCAAATAACTTTGTCTCTTAGTTTCTATACATACAAATATAACCATGAAGAGCGCGTCTCTTAAAGGAACTGGAACAAATGATCTATAACTTTTTCATTACTGATTGGAAAGAGAACATTTCTTACAGATACTGTAATATATGATCTAAAGCTTTATCATTACTGACTGAAAGTTACTACGAAATAGCTCTACCAGTCACTATCTTTAATAAACGAATGAATTGATGTTAACATTATCATTACTGACTGAAAGTTACTACGAAATAGTTCTACCAGTCACTATCTATAATAAACGAATGAATTGATGTTAACATTATCATTACTGATTGAAAGTTATAACGAAATAGTTCTACCAGTCACTATCTTTAATAAACGAATGGATTGATGTTAACATTATCATTACTGATTGAAAGTTATTACGAAATAGTTCTACCAGTCACCATCTTTAATAAACGAATGGATTGATGTTAACAAGGCACATTTTGGCTTCTATCGAGTTATAGCAAAGTGTTTTATCCCCATTATTTTTACCATTAATTTGAAGAAGGAAAGGCAATCAAAAAACAATATGAACCCAAATTCCCTATTTTAACGAAACAAAGACCTTGTTCACTAAGTTAGTTTTTGTTTATTTACTCAAATTAACATGTTTAAAATACTTAAAATAACAATGTGAGAAATTAAAAATTTAAAAACCTAAATCCAATAAAAGAATTTTAAAATATAACGAAATATAAACAAGAAAATATTACAATATATAGCCACAGTGGTGGCTTATTGCAGTTGGAAAAGTATAGTATTAAACGACATGAAAACAACAATGAAAAATGAGAAACAAATTATTATCTCGAACTGTTACTTAGACCAAAAAGAGTTAGTGGAATTTTAAATTTCTTAATAGCTTTTAAATAAAGAGTATTTCATATTATAAACCATTAATATTGTGTCAGGATTACCTTCCCATTAACCCCCTAGTAGCACATCGGTATATCTGCAGACCTACAACGCTAGAAACTGGGTTTCAATACCCGTGGCGGGCAGAGCAGAGATAGCCCTTTGTGTAGCTTTGTGCTTAACTTCAAACAAACAAAACAAACCTTCCCATTAAGAATACGTCCTTCAAATTTGTATTACCTAGTGGTTGGAAGCAGGAAAATGTGTAGGTTTATTATGTTCAGGTCAAGATCGTTAAGTTTTTTATTCTATTAAATAAATGCTTTCAACTCACCTACACTCTATACTGCACATGCCAGACATAAACAGA